CCCCCTACACAAAGAAAAAGAAGAGCCTTGAGTAGCTGGTCCTTCCCTTCCACCACGTGGGGCTGCACCTCGAAGGAGTTATGAGGAAGGGGCCCCACCAGACACAGAATGTGTCAGCTCTCCATCACGACGATGAAATGCCTGTAATAATCAACTTAACAACAGAAGGGTTCATTCTGGCTCACAGTTTTGAAGGTTCCAGGCCATGATCCATCGGCCCTATTGCTTTGGCCTGTAGCAAGACAGCACATCTGTGGGGAGCATGTGGCGAAGGAGAGCTGCTCTTCCCGTGGCCAGGAAGTAAAAAGGAGAGAAAAGAAAGGGCTGGGTCCCGTAATCCCCCTCAAACCTCCTGGTAGGTTGCACCTGTTAAAGGTTCCCCCAGCTCTCAGTTGCACCAGCCGGGGACCAAGCCTTTAACACACAGACCTCTGGAGGACCCTCCAGATCCAAGCTGTAGCACCAAGTCCGCCAGCACTTTGGTCTTGGACTTGACAACCTCCAGAACTGTGAGGAGTTCATGTCTGCTCTCCAGCGTCACCAGTCTAAGGCACCTGGTCACAGCAGCCCGAGTGGACTGACTCCTCCCCTCCAGCCTCTCTGCCACTCTCAGGATAAGCATGGCTCTCACAGAGTAAAAATGATGACAGTGACTTCAAGGACTCCAACAACCCTTGTTGGTGGAGGTGGTGATACCTTTCAGAGGAAGGGCCTGTGGGATGCTAGGCCAGGAAGCCAAGGTGCCTCCTCTCACTGACACCCACCCTGTGGCTTGGGGGACTGCTGCATGGGGCTCTGACCTCGGACCCAGCACTGGGTCAGCTGCTCCTCAAGCGTCTCTGCAGAGAGCCAGTGGCGAGGTGTACAGAGCCCCGACGCAATTGAAGACCAGTGGCCACGCTGGGACCTGCGCGCACAGGAGCCAGGGAAGCCCGAAGGCCTTGTGGTGCACCACCATCTAGCACCTGGGAAGTTCTGCCACCAGTTGGCTCCTTCCCAGGTTCTCCTGTCCCTGTCACACACCCCGGGGCAGGGCTGCTGTCTGGGGTGTCTCGGACCCACAGGTCTGGTGTGAGCAGTCAGGAGAGAGGTGCGGGATGTAAGAACCAGGACTGAGCAGGGGAGGCAGTGAGCCCCCCCACTTCGGGTTCCCCCAGGGGCCTCAGGCCTGCCACCGCCTGTGTCGCCACAGTCCTTTCTTCTCCCTTTTGTCAGCCTGGTGGTAGTTAATGCGCCGAGCCCTGGCTGCCTTCTTAGCCTGCAGGAAGTGTAACGACTGTTATCTACCACAAACCACCGAAGCCTTAAATTACAGCAGGAATGGTGACAGTGATAGATTAGAATTTTTTAAATCAAATCCAAACGTGTCCCGTCACGGCTAAGAGAAGGGCGAGTTGACTTGAAAATAATTGACTTAGAGAACTTTGCGGTGCATGGTGAATCAAGCCCCTCGGTACACTCTTCTCTCCAGCAAAGTATTAGTCACTTAATTGATTCCCAAAGACTTCCTGCTTCGACCCAAAACTATCAGCACCAGGAGGGACTGTCCCGAACCTGGAGTTCTTCCAAGGGCAGGATGGACAGTTCACTTGGAGATTTTCAAAGGGGTGGAGTGGGAGATGGATTTGGAACCAAGCGGTCTTTCTTCTCCAGCCTTGAAAGACAGAGCTGAGGAGCCAGGGGAAAATCATCAGTGATGGCAGCTAATGAATTTTAAATACTTATTACAAGAAAAATTAATTTGCTAAATTAGTCCTGTAGATACAGGTTACAAAATGAGTCACTGTCTCCTCAGAAATGCAAAACTCAGAGCAACTAACGCAGTCAGCCTCAGCGTTGCTGGCCAGGTAGAAGGCCGTGTCACAACCACAATGATGGATCCTCGTTGGGGTCACCCTGCCCTAGCACATCACCTCCAAGGTCACTGGTTCTGGGGCTCTTTTGTGAATGTCTCTGCATGTTGCCTGAGTGCACTCACCCCTCCCAGGACTGCCTATGAGCAGAACACAGGAGAGACAGGAAGTTCCCTGAAGAGGCCCTTGTGCACAGGAGGCTGATCATTCCTGCCTGTCCAGGGTACCCGCTCCTTACTCAAAGCCTGGCCTTTTCCCTTGGTTAACAGATGGGAGCCTATGAAGGGAGTCCAGGCTGCAGAGGAACAGCCCATCCAGAGGGGGCTCAGGCCAGATGAGCTTCAGGAGTTGCCTGTGCAAAGAGCCAGGGCCTCTGGGGGCCAGGTCTGCTGAGCACTGTCCTCAGCTTTCTCCCCAGTCCCAAGTGTCACAGGGCACTACGAGTGGCTCACCTGTCTCTGGCTCAGGCTGGCCCTGGGCTCCTGTTCCTTCTCTGGGTCACACTTGGTCTCATCTTAGCTTCATACAAGAGACTTGCCTCTGACCTCTGCCCCCAACCCCTGGCCTCACTCTGCCCTCCTGGTGTCAGGAAAGCAGATACAGGAGGCCGCATGGCCCAGGGAATACAGAAAGTGCCTGAGGACATGACACAGGAACTTCATGTCTGCATCCTATCCCAGGCGCCTTGCTTTCCAGCCTCCAGTGTCACCCAAAGCAGGCCACTCACCCAGCCACCATCTTCTTAGCTCTAAAAGGGAGAGAAAGGTTGGCAGACAGGCATGTTGGTTACATGTGCAGATCTTGCCTGGGCTCAGTTCCTGGTCTTTTCTTCTGTGACCCAGAGCAAGTTATTTAACCTCTCTGTGCCAACATTCCTGATCAGTTAAATCCTCATGATAGCACTACCTCACTGGGCAGCTGTGATGGTGACAGCATCGTAGTCCTGGCACAAGGTCAGCACTGCATATGCACCTGTGGTCCAATCTCCCGAAGACACAGGTGGTGGGAAGCCTGGACCCAATGACCCTGTCAAATAGCCTCAAGGAATCTGGCCCAGGTAAGCACAGAACATGCTGTCAGGCAGGAGGGAGGGGTCACTCAGCCTGTGAGCACAGGTTTTCTCCTGGCCTGACACCACATACAAGCTGGGTCAAAAAGTACCCAAGAGCAGAGGAGGAGAGGGACCCTGGGGGGATGGAAAGAAGCTGCCTCTTATAGGCCCTGGAATGTGCCACAGGGTTAGCAAAGTTGCAGGGGAAGTTCCCCAGAAAGCCTGGGGAATGGCCCTCCTGCCCAGCACCTCACCCAAGAGGGCAGTCAGCCATTCCTTAGTTCCTATCTCCTTTCTGTCATTCTGGGGAAGAGCAGGCTCTCCTGCAGCCTCCACGGGGCACTGAGTGCTCCAGGAGTCTCCCAATGCCCATTCCAACCCTCTCCCCTACTAATCCCAAGCCCTCTGAGGGAGGGGTTGGGGGACATTCCTGTTCACCTCCTCCACTCTTAAGACTACAAACAATAACTGATATTTACAGAGTGCGGGCAGGTACTGTACTAACAGCTTCTCAGCTTTGCTCAGTTAATTCTGTCGATAACGTGTGGAGTTCAAATGGCCCTCAGACCTATTTCAGAAACGAGTAAATGGAAGCTTGGAGCAGTCTAGTAACTTGTCACAGGACTGGGATGAGAAGTGAGAGCTGGGCTGGAGGGAGCTCTCCACCTCTCACCTGAACATGTGGCCTGGCCACCTGCACCAAGACCCCAGGGAGGCCACAGGCAAAAGGACAGTCAGTGCAGGTAATGAATGATTGGGTCAGGAACAGGGTGGGGGGTCATCAAAGGAAACAGAATGCTAATCCCTCCAGAGCACTTCCCCTCCTCCAACCTGTTGCTGAGGTTACCTGCCTGCATTGTTACTGAGTAGCCCCCGGGTGACTCCCTTCCCCTGGTCACTCCACCTTTTGGTCACTGGTTACTAGGTAAGTAGGGGGCATGAGAAGAAAGGAAACCTAAAACATGAAAGGGACAGGATACTTCCACTCCCTTGGGAACCAACTTAGACCCCCTCCTCTGCAGAGAGTCTCTCTCCCTCTCTCCTGTCCTTTAAATTAAACTTTTCGCTCTTGCCTCAGCGTTTCTTGGGTATTCAGTCTTCAGCACTGGGGGACCGGGACTTGAACCTGATTATCAACACCGGTATCAACAGGCTGTCTGGACAGGACTCTTCAGGGGCATCGCTCTGACCTTCTCATCCTGGGTCTACCAAGGCCCTTGGTCTCCCTGGGGTTCACAGGTAAAATCACTATCACCTTGGATCTCACATCTGTGCCTTTCTAGGGACTGGCTGTCTAATGTCATTTAACGTCATTTCCCTGAGGCACCGCCCCCCAGCAAATTGCTCTCGGCCTCAGCAGGTGGCTTACAGGCCCCTTCTTCAGGACGCCTTCCCTAGCCATCCCAGGGAGGGCCCTCCTTCCTTCCTTTGAAGGCCACAGGCACATCCTCACCCCCTTGGAGCAGAGGCTACTTCCTCCTGTGATAGAGCAGCAGCCCTGACGCTTCCCCAGATGCCCTGTGGCAGCCCTGCAAGGGCAGGTGAGGGTGGTCACTGGGAGGCCAGGTGCAGGCTCTGAGCCCAAGCCCTGGGCTGCTGAATCTGCAGCCACATGCCTGTGCACCTGCCCACTATCCCAGCTAGAGGAGGGATCCCAGAGCACTCAGCCTTGACCTCAGTAAGCCTGAGGTGGGTGGGGGAGATGCCAACAGACTCCAGAGTGGGCAGCACTCGCCTGGGTGGCCTACCTCGAAGGCAGCAAACCCACCAGGAGCACAGACCAGGGATCTTAGTCACACAACACCGTGTCCCACAGGTTTCTAATGGTCAATTTACAGCTCCTCCCAGACAGAGAGTGGAAAAGGGGCACTGCCACCTCTTGGCTGGCAGTGAATCAGATACTGGCCACTTGGAAAAAGAAGATCACTGACCCCAGTCAGAGGACCCTGAAGCCCACCTACATGCTTAGGAGGAAAGAGCACCACCAGCTGCAATGTAAGGACCTGGGATGTTTCAGGTGGGGCCAAGCGGAGATCTGCAGCTGAGCGGGGGACTGTGAACCCTCCCCACCTCCCAGCAAGGAGCCGGAGACCACAGGCAGGGAATGCTTTTATTCCATCCACCTCGCCGCCTCACAACGGCAGGTGAAGAGTAAAAGTGCATTTTTCCTAAAAGCAAAGGAATCTCAAGATGGTAAGCTGGGCCCTGTGAGGGGTGGTGGCTATTCCACGTGACCACGAGCGCCCACACGTGAGGACAGTAGGGCTCTGGAGAGCACCAGGACAATCCCACCCACCCGCCCAGTGGGGACTCAAGACCGTAAGGTCACTTGCTGTGTGGTGGCCGTCTTCCTTCCCCCAGACTGCACATCGGGGCCAGATGTGGACGGGCACCTAGATGGGGGCTGAGGACTGGGATGTGACTGGGAAAGATGCTGAAGGGGACAGAGTCCCTGGAACTTGAAGCAAGGGGCGACGAGGCAGGTGCACTGATGCACGTCCTTCCAAAGCAGACGCTGCAGGGTCAGGGGCACCTGTGCCAGGAAACGGGCTCCTGGGTTGCTGGTGATGCAGTCGCCCTGACCATCCCAAGGAGGACCAGGAGGGTCCTGTCTGGCCACTGACAGGAGTGTAGAGGGAGGGCCGCTCTGCTGTGTGATGCTGGTGCCCCTAGAGCTCCTGGGCAGGTTGCTCCTCGGCTTGCTCCTCCACGGGTGGCATGGCCTCCTGCACGTAGACTATGAACTCCGAGGCCTCCCCGCCCTGGGTGTACACTGTCACTGTCTCGATGCCCTCCACGTCATCGGAGGACACCACCAGGTGGTGCTGCTCAGCCAGCTCCACAGAGGCTTGCTGGAGGGTCTCCTGAATCATGACCGTGTGGTTGGAGCTGGGCTCCTCGTCGGTGACCTGGGGAAGGCAAGAAAGTGGTCACGCATGTTGAGCAATAACTACAAAACACAACTCTGGTGGACGAGCAGCTCGTACCGTCCAGTGCCTGACCAGGCTGCCCAGAGGCTCAACCATGCTGTGTGTGCTCTCGCCCCATGTTCTAAGACAGCAAGGTCTCCTGGCACCAGCAATGTGGGCAAGGCCTCTCCACTGTGGCAAATGGTGGACCCAAGTTCAGACTCAAAGTTGAGGCTCCTTTCCCGGTGCCAAGCTGCCTCCTGGGAGCCCCAGGGTGGGGGTCACTAAAAGAGGAGGGTTGGAAGCCCCATGGGGGTTACTCAGGCCTGGGCTACAGGGCTCCTGGAGACATACAGCTGGGGCAGCTGGTGATAAAGGGACAAGGTTCTCCTTGGTTCTGTCTTCCCACACACTCCAGGAGCTCAGCTCTGCATGACACCACTACCACCCCAGGCAAGAGCACATGCCCTTGGAGGACTCTCCCCAGAGGCCATGAATCGACACTGGTGCCCTACGCATTCAGGAGGAGGCTTGCTGAGGACACTGGCCACCACAGTGTGGGCACGAGAGCCTCAGGGAGCATCTGGCAGTAGAGGAGCTGCTGACCAGCCACGCCTTTCTCACAGCTCCAAGCTGGAAGAGTCCGAGTGAGGCTGAATTCCAGCTGTGCTAAGGCCCCACGTCCCTGAGAGCTCTGGAATGGTAGCAGCTGCCTTTGATCTTGAGAAGAGGATTAAAAAACACAGGAAAGATTTAGAAAAAGAAGTGAGACCCTAGAACTGCAAAAAATGACTGAAAGGTTAGAAAACAAGCCTGGGGGGGAGGCCCACGGGCCTGGGATCGTTTGGTGCAGGACGAGCCTCAGAGGGCTCCCGCAGGCCGATGGGCGAGGCGGAAGGAGCGTGCGCTGCCTGCACCAGCCAGCAAGCGGCAGCTCCCCTCCGGGCTGCGAGGCCACATCTTCCCACCTCCCATTCAACAGCACTTCCTTACACGCCTTCTGCCCGGGAGGGACTGTGGCCGTCAGTTACTCCTTCATTCATTCAACAAGATGTGTGCCACCTCTGAAGCCACCTGAATGCTCTACAAGGATGGGGCATGTCTGCCTCATCAGAGAATAAGCACTCGATATTTGCTGAGTGATGACCTATGAGGTGCCAGACACTGATGAGCACTGAGGTGGTGACACCATAGAAAACCACAGTCCCCATGAGAGCCCAGGCTGGGGACGGGCACACAGTGCAGCACAGTCCACTGCCAGGGGTGACTGGTTCCTGGGAAGACACGGCTTGGCCTCAGGGAGACCAGGGAGGCCCCGAGACCTCCAGGAGGTGCAGGCAGGGTGAGCTTGCTCCGGCATCCCCTGTGGTGCCCAGTGATGCTTCTATCCCCTCCTAGCTCATGATGGATACTAGGTGGCTCTCTGTCCCCTGCCCATTCCTCTGTGACAGGTCATGGGCATTTCCCTGTGGGAAGGGCCCATCTACCCCTGTCCTATTCCAGTTGCTGGGTCAACAGGTGGTTCGTGTTCGACCCATAGAAGGAAGTGGGAAAGGCACCTTGGGGAGCCCTGGCAATTCTGGTATCAGGGACTGGAAGGACTTCCGGGCTGATGGAATCCCCGCCCCGCCCGAAGCTGGAGAGCTGTTCTGAGTGGAAACTGTTGATAGACTCAGCCTGGCTTGCTTTAGATCAAGCCAAGACCTTTTCTTTTTTCTTCTTTTGCTGTTTATTCAATTTCATTTAACTGGGAAAATGAACCATGAACTAGTACTGGAGAAGTAAACATTGGCTATTTCACTTAAAAAGAAAGTGCCCAACAGAAAACAGAATGGGGAGGAATATGCAAAGAAATCTCTTCTCCTTCCACGTTAGTAAATTCTATGCAGAGCAAGGACAGGGGTGGGCTATGCGGAGGTCCTCGGGGCCTCAGGTGCCAACAGGCCCAGCATGCCCCAGGCAGCACTCAAGAGGCAGAAGGTGATGAACACAGCCAGAGCCACAATCTGCAGTTTAAGATACATCCCTGGGACGTGGCACCATCCCTGGGCTTGGTGACTGCCATTGAGGCTGAAGCCTAAAGTGAGGAGCATTCGTCCACCGAGATATTCCACCGACTGCGCATTCTTGTTCTTGTAACCCCCCTGACACCATGTCTGAGTGTGGATGCGGCTGAGATCCTGGCCAGGACAGGGAGGACCATGCCCCCTGGGCCCTTCAGGGGCAGCCCCGCCCGGCCAAGGGGATGCAGTGGGTGTACGCTGAGTCCTCAGGGCTGGTCCCAGGAGGAAGGGGGATGCCTGGGATGGCCAGCATGTGGCCACTGCCTTCAGACGTGGGGAAGGAGGCGAGGTATCAAGGATGACTCCCTCCTGCTGGATGGGCAGGTAAGCCACGTGCCTATCATTAACTGTCACATGGGGCCTGGGCTTCACAGAGGCAGCGTTCTCAGGGATCACGATGCTAAAGGGCACGGCGTGGTGGGCACAGGACAGGCACATACCTAGCCCTGCCAAGGCTGCCACCACCTCTCAGCCACCAAACCCCGGCAGAATTCATCTCCCCCTTCCAGAAGGCGGGACGCCATCCAGCGCTGCCGACCTGACTCAGCTTAGTCTCCGCTGCTTTCACGATGGGCTGCTGGGCCCTTCTGATCCCTCTCCCAGACCCCAGGGTTCCACGCTGCTCTTCCCCAGCCCTCCGCACAAGCTGAGGGTTCCTGGGTCTCGGTCTTCAATTTCTCTGGGCTCTTATCTCTACAGAGACTTCTGCTTCTGGCTGAGCCAGACTCCAGCTCCCACCCTGGGCTCCAGAATGGCCTTGGAATACATGAAAGAGGTGACAGGGACAGCTGTCACATCATGCATGAACAGGGCTGCGTACAGTCACAGTAGATGGAGTGGCCTGAAATGACGTTTACAATCGAATCTTGAGGAGCCTTGGTCATCAGCTGAAAGACGGAGCCACATTTTGCAGACAGTGAAGGTTTTCAAATAAGGACCCTGCCTCATCCAGTCTGTGGGCCTCCTGAATCAAAACCTGCCCCACGTGAGACTTCCTGAGGACCGCACTTCCTTCACGGTTTCTCTGAGTATTATGTCTGTTTGTCCACATTACCTTTTCTAAGTATTAAGTCTATTTAAAGAGAACTCCTTCTCCATTTGCTTTCATTTTTCAATTTCTAGCTCTAGGGTGTGTCCAACAAATCACCACTAAATTTACCCATTACTAATTCCCAGGATGCAATGAAATTTCCAAACACAATGGGTTGAGCTTAATTTAGAAACAGTGATGGTGGCAGTTGTAAACGTGTGTTCCACAGCAGTCCTCCCAGGAGCGTCTCAGCCGGCGGTGTGATGGCCGCACACTCTAGCTCTCTCACTGGGCACTGCAAACATCCTGACACCAACCTAGGTTACCAGGGTCTGTGCCTGGCCTGCTTCACACAAAGGACCTTCTGTGTGGCTCTACCATCCCTGTGGAAGCTGCCTGCACAGGTGCCATCCCTGGTCAAGCCTCCTCTGAGCATCATACACAGAGGATGAGCCAGGGACACTGAAGGCCCCTAGAGGATCGTGAGGCCTTCCATGGAGCGCACCCTTCCTGTATTCAGGTGTTACATGACCATGTCTGCCTCTATGCAGTTTCTACAAACCGGGTGCTCCCTACCCTTGTCCCAGGGGAGCTGGTGTCCACCCAGCCCCCTGCAGAATATTTCCTGAATATTCTCCTATCCTCATCCCAACTGTTCATGCACATCTGTGGCTCGGGCATTTCTGTTCCGTTGTTATAAAAGGTGACACTGAAGTTCTTAGGGGTCTAGTGACTCGTCTAAGGCCAAGTGATTGTGAAGTAGAAAGAGCTGGACGTTGGCCTGAGTGACCCAAGTCCAGAGATCATCCTCAACAGGTACAGGACAACAGTGACTAAAGGAACCACACACTACAGATTGACAGGATTAAGTTACTGTCCCCGCACGTCCAAGCAGGCTAAGTCTGTCGGTATAGCTCCCAACCACTCTCTGTTCAGAATGCTCACTCTGGTAGCTTAATCTATTAGCGCAGTCTCAACACTGTTCTCTGTGGCAGAAATAATCTGCGTTCACAGTATCATTCCCCGAGGGATGGATTCTCCATTTCCCCAGTGTTGTATCCAATGCGTCCTTCGGCTAAATTATTGGCAGCATAGCTTAGCAGAAACCAGAGCCCGTGAGACCATTCAGATGGTCACTCGGTCAGGCCCTGGGTCCTGCAGCTCTGCTTGTATCAAGGGTTCAAGAACCTAGGACAGAACCAGGGCCCCACACCTGGGGGAGGGCTCCACGGACATGAAAAATAGCTCCATTGGAGACCCAGTCACTTTGGCTTCAATCCCCACAGTCCACTCACCTGGCAGTGCTGATGGAGACCCCACGGGTGGGAGGCCACCAGGGTGACTCTGACCACCTTACCCCTGTTCCTTCCTGCTCCCTACCAGTTTTGCCCTTCCTCCTCCTCCAGCTCCCTTCGCACTTTTTTGTAAAAGCTACTCTTAGCAGGTTAAGCGTCTCCCTGCATTTCCCTCCCAACATCCAAGTAAGTCCCAGAAGCCCTCCTTGCTCAGGAAGACCCCTTAAGGAAGACAGGTCCTCCATCACCCCCTTGGTGCTACGTGAGGCCCTGTGTGGGCTGCATTACACCCCATCTCTGTGCCATTGCTCGGAAGACCTGCAGCTTCCTGGGAGCAGGGTCAGCCTTGGCTCCTCCAAGTCCAGAACAGGGCCACACTCTGAGCCACACATGCAAGGCTTGGGACAGCTCCAGAAGTACCCACGGCAGAACCTGAGGTGAGGAGAAAGTCAGCCACCCAGAGCAGCCTCATACTACAGGCCCAGCAGCTGCCTGTCCTTATTTCATGCACTGTTGGGTCCCCACTGACGTGACTGTGGGGAAAGTGGCACGTCTTTCATGGGGGGGAACACCCATCAGCACCAGAGTCCCAGGGCTAACCCCCGATTCCAC